GATACAACAAGGAGGCTGAAAGAAATTACGGATAAACTGGGTACTAGCTGTATCGAGAAGGCAAGATGTTATTACGAAGCACTGGAGTTGGCTCATCAAGCTCAGGTTTATTTTTTATTCCTGTACTAGAATTTTCTTTTTCTTTCTAGCCAAATTTCGAACATATATTTTACTTTAACTATGGAAAGTGTATACTAGTTCAGCTACAAAAAAAAGATTTCTGTAGTTTATATAATACTGAGTTTATATAAAATGTTAGAAAATTCAGGTAATATTTGGCAAATTTAATAAATGTTTTTTTAATGGCCTCAAATGCTTCATAATGTTCTCAAAGTCAATTGTTATTGAATATATAGCATGTTACGCTTGTTGTGCGTTCTACTCTGATGCTTGCTTTAATAATAGCATGAATGAGCATATCCTGCTATGCCCAGTTGAAATTCCACTCGTGCTAGTTTAACATGGATTGCATTTGAAATTAAAATAAAGTTTTATAAACTCAGTATATTCTAAAAATTATAATGATAAATATAAGATAATATTTACCTGTATTATCATTTACTTTAGTGCAGTCATTAATCAATTTTTATACATTTGTATATATAATGGCAAGAACTTTCTAATCACTTTGTTGTCTGAATATAATATCTCATGTTTAAAATAATTTGTCATATTGCAAATTATAAAAGCTAGTTGTTTTGCATTAAGCGCATTAAATGACAATTAGCTGAAGTGTTACGCAAGTGAATCAATGACATTTCCTCTTACGACTTTACAGGTGCAGTGTCAACAACAAGCGCAGCTGTTTCAAAGAGCCAGCGAAATTCACGCAGCAGCAAAGGAAACAGTGGCTCTGGCCGAAGCGCGATTCATGTCTCATCAGCATGAGTGGAATTTTGACCAGGCATGGCAGGATATGCTCAATCATGCAACTATTAAAGTAAGTATAAATGTAAAACGTATAGCACAATGACCGTGTAATTTCCTTTCGAAGTATTGCGAAACATTTGGAACCATTGAAAATATTCTGATATTATAACACTGTGGAATAATTTTGAAAAAACTTGTTGCGGACAAAGCATTGTAAGAAAATTCTGTTAGTATTAGGTGAGGAGAGATGGAATGTCAAAGGGTTTGCCAAGATTAGTTCGATTTTTTATTTATGAAGCTTCAAAGTTGAGTACAAAATGAATGAAAAATTGACTTTTATTCTTGTCTACATTATCAAATTTTTTGAGAAAACTATTATCTTGATTACATCACCGAAGCACGCATTTAGAAATAATTCTAAAAATCATTAGTTGCTGTAGGATCTTCGATTTTATCATCTTTGTCACATATTTTATGACTACCTGCAAATATCGCTTAGCAATGCATCTAATTTTTTTCTTTTATAGCAAACTTTCATTGGCATGGGTACTTCATGAAAGCACTCATGCCATGTTTATCCCATTCTGATGCATGTTCTTTATCAAAGTAATCAAGATGGTAATGAAAGGAGTGTTCGTCCGATTCTGATGCAAGTTGCTTTTCAAAATAATCAAGTGATAGTGTAGAAAGTGTATTTTTAGGTTCATACGAATACCTATTCTCTTGAATGCAATCTTGGGATCACTGTAAAAAAATTGCTTAAAATTCAGGCAAAAGCTGAAGTTTTCTTATATATAGTTACATTATCTGAATTTCTAACTAGTTGTTCTAACTGTCTGGAGTTTTTCTAACTGTCTATGAATATTTCTAATTTTAGTATCAAAATGTTCAGACAATGTCTGAATATTCAAGCATTGAGATCAGAAATATTCAGACAACTACATTGCAGCTAGAAATTCGGAGAAATGTAGCTAGAAATTGATACAACTATGGCTAAAAGTTAGACAATGTGACTAATAAAACTTTAGATTTTGTCTGAATTTTAAGGCAATTTTTTACAATAATGCTATGAAAGCAAATAATCGATAACTTTCTAGAATCGGTCAGCAAATTATCAAGCTTTCATAGCTGGTATATTGAGAGCATTCGAGAGAATAGGTGTTTATATGAATCTAAAAATACACTCCCTTCATCACCATCTTGATTACTTTGATAAAGAACATGCATCAGAATGGGATAAACATGGCGCAAGTGCTTTCATCAAGTACCTATACCAATGGAAGCTTGCTATAAAAGAAAAAAATTAGATGCATTGCTAAGCGATATTTGCAGATATAGTCATAAAATATGTGACAAAGATGATAAAATCGAAGATCCTATAGCAACTAATAATTTTTAGAATTATTTATATTTCTAAATGCGCGTTTCGGTGATGTAATCAAGATAATAGTTTTTTCAAAAAATTCGATAATGTAGACAAAAATAAGTCAATTTTTCATTCATTTTGTACTCAACTTTGAAGCTTCATAAATAAAAAAATCGAATTAATCTTGGCAAACCCTTTGACATTCCATCTCCCCTCACGTAGTACTAACAGGATTTTCTTATAGTGTTTTGTCTGCAAAATTTGTATCCACCGTGTAATTTATCTATTCCTGTCTGCCCCATGTTAATTAATTCAATAATTGATTTCTAATAAAAAAATTTAACATAAATTTAATATGACAATTTAATATAACAAAAATTTAATATAACAAACAATATAAATTGATACTTTTTGTTGAAGGTCATGGACGCGGAGAATCAAAAAGCGGAGTGTGGTCGAGAACATCACAGAAAGGCGATGTTGTTCCACGATGCCGAGAAGAAGCTACTGCAATTAGAGGAAAAGCATCGACATGCAATAGTAAAAGCGAGGCCGTACTTTGAGATGAAGACCCAGTGCGACCAGATGTTGGCTACGCAGAAGGAGAGAGTGGAGTTCCTGCAACAAGCTGTTAAGGAAGCCAAACGTAATTACGCAACAAGTCTCCGAACGTTGGAAGAAATTAGTAATCAGATTCATCAGCAACGAAGAGATTATGGTAAGGAGAAATATATTTTAACGATATATAAAACAACTATTTCTTTTTTTATAAACATTACATTTATATTCTAGATATTGTGGCTAATGGACCGCGAGAACCTGGCGTCGGTGCCGAGCTCATTAGTTCAGACACGCACCAAAAGTATAAGAGCGAGTTCAACGATTCTGGCAGTCGTAAAATATCTCCCATTAGATATAACAAAAACGAGAACAACGAAAAACTACATGATATCGAGGTCAGTAATATATGTAATGATAAATCTTGTATGAAGCATTTAAATGTCGATGTCTATCATTTATCTATAATTTACAGAAACCTTGTTTAACGAAGAACGACATGGAACATCTTGACAAAAGATCCGTTGACGGTAGTGAGAGCAAATTCACGCAATGGGAGCTCGAATTGCAAACCAGTATGGAAAAATTAAATCGTTTGTCGATCGAGAATTCGTTGCGCATTAAGGAGCGCGACTCACAAAGTTCTTCCGAACTGCAGGATACAGTTGAAGTCACCGTGAACGGGACGTGCTACAATCCCTTATCTGAACTGTCTACGCGTACTTCAAATCAATTTACAAGATTAATTGAAAGTCCGGGGACTATCGAAAGGGGCAGATTTAGTGATAGACCGCACTTGCTAAAATCATGCTCGACAATCGATTCAACGACAGCGTTACGCGGTACATCAACGTTGGCGAATAGCAATACTTCAAAATCGTTGAACAATAGTCCAGTAAATAGAGGTACGTCTAATTTCGAGATCACCGGTTCAGCGGGAAGCGCAAATATATCGAAATACGTGCCAAACAAAATCTCTCAATTCAATATTAAGGATAGAAAAACTCAGAGCAGCTGGGAGATTAATATCCCTTATAATGCCAATGTTATGAATAAAGAATCTGAAAGAGATAGCTGTAATAATACAAACGATACTTTAGTCAATAAGAGCCACATACAACTTACGAATTTACATGTCGCGCAAGTTTCTAATATCGAGTTCCTGCCTAAGGAATCTAGTTTACCGAGACATCACGTCGCAGCGGCTCCCGTTGTCAGCCAGCATTCGAAGAGCTCGCATAGTGATGTCGCATTGTTGCAGTCACGATCTAGCTCTAATTTGCAAAAAAGTGCGCCAAGCAGTGCCAATTCCAGTCCGATAAAACTAAAGAATTTATTATTGTCGTCTGCCAGATCCTTGGATACTGGGAGTGCGGACCAGCTCGACAAAGGTTTAATTTCCAAGAGGTTTGCGAACAAAACCACCAGTATTAAAGAGTTACCGTTATTATCGCTCTTCAGACAAACGTCTGCGTTATCGGCGTTTAGAGGCAAGAGTAACAGCATGATCAATTTGAGCGGTAAACAAAACTTGAAGACGCTCCTGGAAAATTCTCATCTGAGTAATATACAGACGATCAGCGCGGAAAGATTAGCGAACGTGAGACATAAGCTGGTCAACGATTGTCCGGAGATAAAAACGGACGATGTTAAAAAATAAGTACAAGAATGCGATAAAATAAATCGCTTAGGATAAATGATTTCTGCGTTTAACACGTGTGTAGAGATTTGTTAACGTCGTTCACAAAAAAAAAAAAACTCGGAAATGAAATGTTGCTACGGAAGCAATGTAGCTTTAACAACAATCGTTTTCGAGGCGTTACAAAAGACACTTCTGTAGTTTTTGCTGCAGATTATTCAGCAGCTGGTTATTAAATATATGCTGCAACGTTAATTAACGATATGTATTATATAAATCGTCGCGAATTAGTTAGATATTAATAGTTTATTTGTAATTAAAACGTAATCACAACATTGCGATCTAAGAATGTCATCATTGAGGTATCGGCACGATTAATTAAATATAAATCTGCGCTCATGCAGTTCCAATTAGGCATATACCTGCTATTAAAAACCGACCAGGCGATGTACGCATCGTATCGTTTACTATTTTCTAATCTTTTAATATGTGCTTTTTTAATAAAACACGTGTTTCTTAACAAGCATTTATATCTATCTTATTTACGCGACCAGTGATTATTGTCGTATTTAGTATAAAAAAATTAACTTTATTTTGCGAGATACGCTTTTCTATTAGCGTAATGTAAAAGCTTCAACGATTACCGGCTTGCTTTTAATTCATAAATTCAGAGTATAGCAGTATCATAGATAACAAATATCTATATATTGGACATATTCCGCACAAACAGATAGATATCGAGACAGAGCGCATCGATTGTATAACGAGCTAAAGGTCAATGGCTTTATATCGTGTATCGTTTTGCCAATGTAAAAACAGACTGCTATATAAATTAAGTTTGGAACGATTTTAAGACCTGCGAGAGGAAAGCACGATGAATCGGGTGTCGAATTTTCTTGCAACGATATTACGCTGATATCGTTGCGACCTGTTTCTTCTTTGTTCCGAGAGACGTCAAGATGGCCTTATACATCTAATCTAAATACCGTGGCGTATCGAGCATTTTCTGGCTCTAACGAGTGTAAATTCTCTTAGACTAAATTACAGCGAATCGAGAACGCTTGTCAATTGAAGTTCAATCGGTTGTCAAATAATTTATTGTGTCACGAATCACTTCGGAAATTCAAAAGATTCGTCTTGCTCTACAATATTTCTTCTTTAAATTCCGTAGAAATATAATTGCTAAGGAGAGAAAATTAGTTCTTTGGATCTGGGTAAGCTCGTCGATAAGCAGTCTGTCATTTCTTGTGGAAGGTGTATAATCAGTATGTTTAATGCAATAATGACACATGCAATGCTTAATGATAAATTGCTTGCTTAATTTTAGTCAATTAGCAAACTCAAGTAGATAAGTTATCTAAAAATAAAATAGCGAGCAAAGGTAATATTTACGATGAATTAGTCTTGTGTGAGTATAGTTATATTTTTTCAATTAGTCTCAATTGATAAATTTTAAGCAAAACGTTCAGTTACAGAGATATGTAACGTAAAAAATAACGAAGTCGCCAAGAGAAATGTGATGATGATATGTACATCATTAAACATGAAATTATCAATAATTTTATTAAAGATAAAAAAAAGTGCATTCATAAATATGTTTTGCATGACATATGCAAGTTGAGTTTCAGACACCGGAAATTGCAATCTCGCATGTTATGTTAGGCGCTCGTGGCGAAAATCGGCCGATTACGGAGACACACGTCATCGACGAAAGGTTATCAATACGGTGATAAGAACTGTCGACGAAGCTTTGAGAAGAAATGGACAACGAGAGGGTCGATTATAAAGCCGCCAAAGCCGACGGCCGTGTGACAAATAATCATCGCAAGGCATGTGATATCTGTATGCACGAGACTGCGGACAACAAAGCGAGCGCAAATCGCACTCGCTTATCACAAAATTTACTCGATAAAAAAGATTATACATCCTTAATTTTTTTACATAACTTTCGTAAACGCAATCTGGTATATTTTTTTCTCATCAATCATAATCACGAGCATAGTTCCTTTAACAGGAGTAAATTTTGTAAAAAGACCGTCTATTCTTTGCGAAATTTAATTACTATAAATATTATTTACCGATAATTGTATGGTAAATATACAGTTAGAATATTAATAATTATTTTGCTGTAAATTCATTTGCGATAAACCAATACACTAAATTTTTTTGAAATTATAATGATTTGATTTGCCCGAATATTCTCCGCAATTTTGCTAAATTAACGCTGGACTTGTCATTTAAATAAAGAGAAATATATCTATTTATTTGTCTCCATAACTCGCATTGTAGGGATTAAATTATCACCATCTCGTTCAAAAGCATTCAGATAACGAAAACAGAATGCAAAAAAGGAAGGAATTCTCTAGCGAGGCTACGGAGGACGAGACAGAAGAAGAAGAACGGGAAATTGACGAAGATCGGAGCGAGGAAGAAGATGCAAAAATTCAGAAAGTAGATACAAACCAAGAAGAGGCGAATGAAAATGAGCAGGAAACTGCGCAGATTGAACAGTGCGCGATTTGTCACGTTATCATCAACGATGCGAATCTCGGTGGAACCGTCGCCAACTCCGAACAGAATCCACACTGTTCCGAGGGCTACTTGTTATGTCGACGTTGTGTACAAAATTTTTCAATCCGATCAGGTCAATAAAATATTCATCATAACTACTAATATATATAAGGATCTAAAAAAAGAGTTTGAGATTTTCGGAAAATTTTTTTGTACAACACATATTACACATTCAACATATGTAATAATAATCTCTTTAACTCGTAACACGATATATTTTTGTGATGCTAAAGAAACATATGAGACACTAAGTTTTTTTGTTATTATTTCTAGAAGTTTTAAAATTTTCAACTATACAAAAAATTGCAATACTTGAACTCTTTGCAAATATAGTATGACAATTAGTCCACATGAGTAAAACAAAACTGAAAAAATAGAATTGTGAAATATAAAATTATTCCAAATCATACTATTTAAAATTTAGGAAAATGTTTCACAGTTACCAGAACCCATATATTCTAGTTACAAATTAAAGTAACTCTTATATTTAATTAGATAGCTCTTATCTCTAATTAGATAGCCTTGCAATATTTATTTCTTCTGAGGCGAAAAAAATCAATGTTCCAAAAAAATTTGTAGAAAATCTAAGCACTTATAAATCCCTAATAAATAATGACTCAAGTAACGATAATTAATCAGTTGACATGTGCGATTAATTATCGTCACGCTTTCGATAAAAATTAAATATCGTATGAAATGAAAGACATATCCTTTAGTTGCGGAGCATCCTCAGCCTCGAAGATCGCACACGAGTTTCTTCCAAGGCAGAGACAGCGATCGCAATATACGTCCGAGAACGTACGATCCGCATCGCAATCAGTGGACTTGCAACTTCAATAAGGCGGTATTCGGTGAAGGGAATAAAGAAACGTTAGATTACGAATCAGATACCATCTCATACGTCGCTGATCGCGATCGAGGCAATTTGCGGCGAGAGGAACAAGTGGAAAGTTGCAGGAAACAGTATCAACAGCAGCATGGCTATTGCAATCTAATGACAACGACGACAAGGAGAAATGGCGCGGTGGATCGATATCCCTCTGAGATTAAGGTCAAAAGTCCCTCTTTGGTCGACTGCTCCCGCAGACCCATACATTGCCCACGTCTAGATTGCTCGGTGAACGTCGCATTCTCGGCACTCACTCATCATTTTCTTTTCGATCATCCCGAAGTGCCCATCCTCAGTGTCGAACCCGGCGCCGAGAGCACACTCATCGTCAGTTACGGAGCTCTCTCCTGCAACTCCAGTCGATGTCTAGCTCTCTTACTGGTGTCCGGAAAACTCTCGTTAGTATATTACCATTGATTACCGTCACTTAAACATTGCATAAAGGTGGTGCATTCGATATATATTCCTAATCCCTTATTTCTTATTTCCTAAAACAAGTGATTTCTTTTAATAAAGAAACATCGAATAAGAATTTTATTTACGATTGATTTAAAATTGAGAGAGAAAAATTTCTTAGATAAAACCGTACAATGTTCGGAATTAATGTTATAAATGTGTCTAACTTAACCACTAATCGCAGAAATTTCTGTAACAATAAGAGATTCCTCAGCAAGGCTGTTCGGTAGCATTCAAATAAATCCTAAGTATCGGAATCGATTGCCTCTGCCGGTGTTGGCAGCACGTCTGCACAGCAGCCACAATTACACCTGTCGTGAGGAGATGCACGCCGGCGGAGAAGGCCAGTGTGAGAAGGACATGATCATTGCCTGGGTGGCAGGATTAGACGTCGGCGATACGACTGACAGACTTCGGTGTAGCATCCAGGTATTCGCCATATTGATTCGTGCGTATAAGATGAAAACGTATCAGTGCTTAAAGATAGATAATGACACTTGAATGGTTTAATAGGCTGTCGATAGCATCGAGAACGGGGGATTTCGTTCGCTCACGTACACAGGCCCTGTGACGTCCCTGAGAGTTGCCCAATGTCCACGTGATGTTTTCTTGGCTGGTGATTGTATAGTTCTCCACGAAGGATTAATCAGCCATATCACCTCTGGCTGTACCAGTCTCAATGTAAACGTTATTGTACATTAAACATGTGTTCTGTTAACATACATACGTTTCTGTTTCTGAAATAACTATTTTAAAAATGTAAGCCCATCTAATATAAATTGGGATTATACAGGAAAACTGGGCGAAGTGAATGAAAGATCTGAAGAAATTGCGTCTTGTATCGCGCAATAATCTCTCGTTTATTTCTTAAAAATATCATTCATTTTTTAACCTAATCAGCTAAATTCATTTTTCCATTTGCATCATCCGGGCTAATAATCTGACGTATATATTTAAATAAAATATTATCTCGCTCTTTGCACATACCTTGCACGACATACAATATATAAAAAGACGATACAAAAGACAGTATTGCGGACTTATTTAAAAAAGTCTCAAGCGAGTTTTTTCCTTCCCTAACAGTTCGAATCATAAGCTAGTCATGGCAGGGGGCCGCGCGTACGCTTTAGGAATGAAACCGTACTTGCGGGTCTTGGGCGCGTAGGCCCAGAGCCAACCGTCCACCGTTTGATTTCCCAGATCCGCGTATATCCAATCGGCTCGTTTCACCGATAGATCGTCCGGCGCCTGTGCCTTGTAATCGTAAAGCACCACTAACTCCGTACCGGTCGTTTCATCCCGGAAATCTCGCACTCCCTTTTGCTGTAACGATTCACCTCCCGTACCTTTACCTGCAAGATGAACACTGTTAAATCGATAATTATGGAAAGTTGATAACAAATGTAATCCTAGCTATTAAAAGTTACAAAACTCCATTGAATTCCTATCATTGACATATAAATTCTAGAAAACTTTTCCAGAGATGATTTAACGGTGGATGACGTAATGGTTCAATAAAGACCTGGACTATGAGCGTCTGTGGACGCTGTATTTGTAGAGGCAGTGGTGGCCGTCGTAGTGGCTGTCGCATAAGAATGAAGAACGTGACCAGGATAAACGAAACCGGACGGTACAAAACCCTCATTGCCATCGCAATGTCGGAGCACCCAAAACCAATCCGGATCGTCGCGATTCAACACAGTCACGAATTCGCCTCTCTCGACACTAACATCGTTTTCGTCCCGTGCCACGAAGGTGTAAAGGACAATGTATCTTCCGGCTGATGGATCCTGCGGGTCGCACGGTAGAATTTCTCGCTGATGAGTCAAACGAGATTAATGAATGTCATAACAAAGTACCTAATTCATAATTGCCAGAATACTGTATTCATCCAATTAAAAATTTTTAATATCGGAAAGATCCTAATTAAATTTTAACTCCGAAATTGAAGCCAAAATCTGTAACACAGTTACTGATGCTGAGTCTGTGAACTATTTAATTTATACAGTGTTTACAATATAGTGTTATGTCCTTTGTTCTTAGAAATTTGTATTCCTTGAAATTAATTGGTGTTAGTTTAATTTATTAATTAAAGAGAACTAATTAATTTTAAGGACTAAAAATAACACAAAAAAGAATAAATACTAAGTATATTTTAATAAGAGAATAGTTTGCAGATGTAATATAAAGAAAATTGAATTCTTTGACATTTTTGAGAGATTTATAATTGAGTAGATCCAATAAACCCATCAGCTCTGGAGTGTTAAGTGAAGACTCAGAAACATATTGAATTAGGAATTAAGTATTTTTATGGCATTCTCGGCTAATCAATTGGTACCTTGAAAAAGGGGTGTACGTCCGGTTGAGACGATATGGTCTGTATAGAATTCTGGGACTGCGTGATGTTGGAGCGATTGACGTTAACATCCGCGGTGGTAATGTTATTTCGTGCGTAGCTCTCACAATCCGAGGCCGATCCGGTATCAGTCTGTTGTGTCTCCTGCAGGCGGCCCGCACTAAGAAGATCGCAGTCATTCTCATTGGACCGCGGCAACTTCTTCTTCACGTTGTTCAGATTGGCCAACGTCAATTCCGCCAGCTGCGACGTGTATGGTGCGCAATACGAGTGTGGCACAAAGCCTTCCATACGCGTGTCCGCTGCTATTACGTATACCCAATCGTTTTCTCTGTAAAGCACATTTACTACCTGAAACATAAAGATTCCTATATTAGTGTTATCTTTTTTTTAATGAATATATAATTTCGTAATGTTTGTTTTGTATAATTTTTTGCAAGCAAAATAGGAAATAAAAAAGATTCAAATAAAAACAATGAGAACTTGACAAATTAAAATGAAATTGAGATAAAAAGAGAGTAGACATGCAGATTATATGTATTAGAAATTGCTGTATATGAAATATAAATAGCATGCCGCTTGTAATACATAGATCTGTCGAAGAACAATGTAATCAGTCGCTAACCTGGCCTCTTTTGACTTGAAGCTCATCGTCCACGCAGGGAGTAAAGTCATGCACAATAACCATTTTACTGTCCGGAGAAAGTCCATTCTCTTTTTCAATACCAACTCTTACAAGGGTTTCAATACTAGCGCTTCCAGTTATCCGACCTGGGGGTAATGGCACTCTGGTACCCAGGCCAAGCCCACTGCCACCTGTCCCACAGTCTTTCTCCAAATTAAAGTTGTGTGTTCCGGCTATTTGGAATTGAAAATTCATCATAAATGTGAATGAATTTACATAGAATTACAAAAAAAATAAAATCAATATTTTTAAGAATTTTACAATTTCATACAATATATAAATATATACGTATATACATATTTTTTAATAATAACAAAATTATTTCTGAAAGAAAGAGGAATTCCCAAAATTACAAGAAGAATCATTTTGACGTATGCTTACAAGATACAATACAAAAATCATTTTACGATAAACGTTGCTTCTACAAGACACACTTCGAAAAAGCGACAGTAACAATTAAATAATCCACTTTAAAACGTGACGTTTATACGAGAAGATGATTTTGCATTTTCCAACGGAGAGAAAAATCGAAAGTCGTGCGTAATCGATGCATGAACTCGGCCCGGCTCATTTCGCAGAGGCTACGGGGTGGAAGCTGCATAACCGGTCCCGAGCAACAGGTGATCGGGCCGAATGTGACAACTGGCCCTTGCAGACCAAACTTGCCGTGCCCTCTCGATCTTCACATATCTCTCTCTCTCTCTCTCCGTCTCGTTTCCTCTCTCTTGCACTTTTTCTATACAGGCTCGTGCCGTTTACTTACATTTCTTCTTCTTTCCGCGACGTATGCGTACAGGGCACAGGAAAGCCATTCTGCGGTTCGTTCGCGGAGTTCGCCCGGAATCTTTCACATCTCCAACGCGGCGACCACCCGCCTCCTGTGGAATGCACGAGCGATCTCTCGCCGCGGCTGTATATATATATATATATATATATGTATATGTTACACCAAGAGGACGGGAGATGCGGAAGGATGCGGTGCCGAGGAGAGAGAATGTCTCAGGTTGAAATCTGGCCGCCGCGCGATCGCGATGGAACCGAGACACACCTCCCGCAACGACGAGCGGATGCGTTCTCTGCGTTCCCTCTCGTCCACCGTCGGGTTCTCACGGATCCTCGGGGGCCCAGGACTTCGTGGTCGCGATTGTGAATTAATCTTGGACACAGAAGGTAGAGAGCGCTACGTGGTTCCCGTTAAATTTTCATGATTCGGACGAGATCACTGCGATGCTGAACGTGCTTTCTGAGAAGACTTGCATCAAATAAACGAGTTGAAGATGTCGCAATACTAAAAATATAATACATGTCCTTATTAATAAAATAAAGGCGAATACATACAAGAAAATAATAATTAATATGTAATTAGTAAAAATAAAAATAAGCTGATAATAAGGAAATAATTTGTTTTATAGAAAAAAATATCTTATCTTTATATTTTTCTGAATGACTACGATAAGTTTTTCTTTTACTTTTTTCTTACTTTCCTTTTGTTCTATCTCTGATACAATTAATTTGCATATATTTTGATACGAAAATACAGACATTAATTATTGTTGGGTCCAGTAAACGAACTGTCAACACAGATACAAATAAAATTGGAATAAAAAGTGAATATTCTCTCTTTAAAGTTTACTTACTTTGTTAGTTTACGAACAAGGGGCTAATTATATATCTCGAAACAGAGTGAAAATTACAAAAGCGAGCAAATTCATTAAGTATTGATCGATGAAATTATAAAAATTTGTTTACTTTTATCATTTTTACTTCATTTTAAAATACATAATCAACTCCCAGAAGTTTGTAAACATGTACATGACAGCATCTGTCAACGCGCATACCACTATATTTTTGTTCAATCCGTTAATATAATCATGCTGCTTCATTTTCTTCACTTCGTCGACACGATTTGTTGTATTTCTGATAGAATTCCAGCCACCACATAAATTCTGCGTTTACATCCTTCTGTCGAGAAAATTTATAGCAGATCGAGCAGACGTTACATCGTCATTTATATTTTTTGGTAGACTGGATTACTTCAATTTGATTTTTACTCGGAGAACCAAAAAGCGATTTATATAGTATGTAAACAGATAGATATACGATATGTTACAATAATAATAATAATGTAATAACTTAATTTATTGATGTATAACAAATAAAAACGAATTAAGACATACTTACAGCAATAGTATAAAACGGAAGATATGCAATCAATGAACGAGACATCAGCAGTAATGCTGTCTAAAAACCTATCTTGATGTCTTTTCATTGTTAATTATGTTTTAAAATATCTCCATTTATGTAAATTTACCTTATCTCTCTCTCTCTCTCTCTCTCTCTCTTTTCCAAATAATAAAACAAAGAGGTTAGGCGAGGGAGATTGTTGACACGTGTCTCCGAAGTGACAGTTCCGAAGTCTGGAGCTTTGAAAAATCGGAGTTATCAGGAAAATATGTTGTGCGAGGAGGTTATGAGAGGTGGCAGAACCAAAATCCAATTCAAATTTCGCGCCTCACGTTCTCCAACTTAAATCTCAAAATTCGAATTCGTAGCTCACTTCACCTCTTCTGAATTATAATTCCCTAGAGGGCGGGAGATTTGAATCGTGTCACCTTTCGTAACCTCCTAGCCACTTCTGTTTTCCTGATAGCTTCGACGATTTTTGGACGGCATCGAG